GAACCGATATTGCAAACATTCGCCAGATCTGGGTTCTACTTCGGACTCGACGAAGCTGCCAGCCCGCGTTTGTCATTGCGTGTGAGGAGAGCAGCTCTGCGTTCGTCGATGTGAATCATCGGACGGCTGTCTGACACACACATGTCCAGTTTCCAAGGATCTTGGCCCACACTTCAGGAGTTGTGGTAACTTTCTCATTTCCCATTACATCCCATCTCAAGGCATGTTTGCTTTGGAAACTCGGCTCGAAATCATAAATTTTTCTTCGTCCTGTGATTCCACGAAATCCATCATCGTTCTAAGCTTGGCAGAAACAGCTCATGGAACTCGCAGCTCGTTGCTTCTATCTTGTCACCCTGTCTGGTGTGTGTCAAATATCATTCCTCGTAGTTCAAGATTCGGGAAATGAGTGCTGGAATCTGTGCAAGTTTGTACCTGAGAAACGAAATACTCCCTACGTTTGGCCACTCCTGGTGACGGATGCGTCTTGAACTTACGTATCACGTTTTTGTTCGGTGTTGTGCGTTCCACAGTGGCAAAAAGCAATGTTTGTGGTAAATCGTGCAAAACCTAGCTGAACCGCATTCGACTACCAAAAACTCAACGTTTCAGCGGTTTAGCTGTTGATAGCCATTCCAGTTGGGCGTTCCCGCAAAGCCTTCACCCAGCTCCCTTAGAGAGTGTCTCAAAATCTTCGGTCCACGCTGGATCTAGGCGGTCGACGTGGACCAGTCCACCAAACCACCACGGACCCGAGCGTGGACCGGAGCGTGGACCCGCGTGTTTTAACGAGGGAAAAGGACTGTACTGGGGAGTCTTGACTGGTTCGGCGAGCTGGTCCACGTCGGACTCCTGAACAGTCGTCTTTTCACGAATAGTTGCGAACTCACCCCACAAGTGTCGCAAAACTTGACAGCGCGCGATGGCGGATTGCCCAATGACATGAAGCCCTTACGAGTCATAGTAACCTAGTGTTGGGAAAAACACGCAGTGTTCTCGCCTTCACGCCACTGTAGATTTCATCAGCGGACCAGTCCGAAGCTGGTTCGCCAGTACGGACTCAACCTGGTCCGGCGGACCAGTCCACGGTTTTGGGGTGCAACATTTCCAAGAGCGGACCGGCTCGCAGACTCGTCGGAAGTGAGACACGTCCTTAGTTCCTTCGGTGACTCAGTGCTGACTGCAGCAGGCAGATCCGTCCTTTCATCAAAACGATCAGTACTTGTGACTCTTGGAAAGCCGTTTCGCAGCGAGATATAGATCCGACCTCATAACCTTCGCATATAGGTTTCGAGTCTCCGTGACGCATTGCTGGCTGTTTTCGTTGCTCGCACGCTAGCTTCGCATCGTTGTGACGGTGATAGACTTTTTGTAGTAGATCTCGAAAGCAACTTTCTGGGCTAAGGCTCCGGCACCATGCTCTTCCTGCTCTCATGGCCTCTTCTGTAAGTTCGTAGCCATTATCTTCTGTCTTAGCAGCACGTTGAAGCCGGTCAGAGTTTCCTCTTTTTCTTCTTAAACTTCCAGAGGTCTCTAACTCGTCGCGTGGATCTACACTTTTTTCCTGTCTTCCCGCTGTCCTGCTAGGATCGTACTCTGGTTAATCTCTCTCGTCATCCCCGGATCTCTGCTTGGGTATTTGTATCTAGCATGCGAATGTGTTTAGTATCCTGCATACTAACGCATATGCTAAACATTCCTCCCGATTTCAGGTCTCTGCTGGGGTACCTGTATCCAGCATACGCAACTTACAAGACGGTAGAGCGACGTTCTTCAGAGCCAGATGATTTCCGCTTCTGGTGCAAGTACTGGTGAGTTTGTTTGTTTGTTTGAAAGTGCGACGAATCGTTCGCTTACCGCAAGCGTGAATTGAGCATGGTCTATATATGGTCTATCATGGCACGTACTTTGATCAGGAAGCAACGATGTATACGTTCTAACCTCGGCTGTTGTTGATCGTTTCTTCAGGGTGATTATGGCTGCATTCCACGTCTTGGAGAGCTGTCTTTTCTTTGGCCTCATCACCTGGTAAGTCCAATCTATCAACGATAAGATAATATTCACAGTCTGATGTCGGTTCTATGGTATGCAATCACTTCCGATTATCTATCCTTACTATGTTTCTGCTTGTTTCTACCTTATATCTTATTTGACCTGAGTGACAACCTGAAACTGTGTCAGCGTATCATATTCTGAATTCCCGCGCGTATCGTCTCTTTGTTCAGGCTTCCGTTCTATGACGTCTTCAAGGTCCTCTTCTGCGTTTACCTCTGGCATCCGCGAACTCAGGTACGGATGCTTCTCCCTTTCTCGCTCACTCAGTTGCATCGCTGTCATGGCGTGTCCGCGTTGCGTGCTGCGCTGTTCTCCACGGCTTGTCCGCGCTGCAATTCGTTCATCTCGTCCTGCCACTGTCCCATAACTTTGTCACGCACGTTATTGCATTTGTGCGGGTTTTTCCCATTCACATAGGCCTCCCTCCTCCTGTGTCCTTGGATCCTTCCAACTCGCAGGGCACACTGCTGATCTACCACCGTGCCATCGTACCTGCTTTGTCGCGCCACGAGCAAGAGATTGACCGCAGGATCGCGGAGGTGCAGACACGTGGCATGGATCTGGCCGTTGAGTACTCTCGCATCCTCGCGTCTAAGATCATGTCTCTCGCCAAGGCGGGCGCTGAGGCCGCCCCTAAAGTCTACGAACGTTACCAGGTGAGTGAACGTTAGCAAGTGAGCGAACCGTTGGCAGGTGAGTGAACGCTATTAGGTGAATGGAAAACGTGCTTCTCCGCATCCTCGCATCCTCGCGTCTAAGATCATGTCTCTCGCCAAGGCGGGCGCTGAGGCTGCCCCTAAAGTCTACGAACGTTACCAGGTGAGCTAACGTTAGCAAGTAAGCGGAACGTTTCCAGGCGAGTGAAACGTTAGCAGGTGAGTGACTGGTAGCAAGTGAGCGAACCGCTGGCTGGTGAGTGAATGGTAGCAAATGGGCAGAACGACGCTGGTGAAGGAACGTTTTGTGGTGAATGGGAAACGTGATTGGGTGAGAAAAAAGTTAACAGTTGGCCGAAACGTGGTACAGATAAATCTGGGTGATGTACTAACGCGTACAGATAAAGGATGGTAATTACAGATGACTGACTGCAGGTGACTGTTGTTCAAACTTAGTCACTTATCATCACCTGCATTCGCAGCTCACACCACCACTCGTGATCCGTGTGACGTTATAGCGAGGTGATTTTTCTGTCAACTCAGAAGTCATTCGATGACAAGTAACTGACTGTAGTTGCATCACTGTTCAAGTGGGTAAAGGTGAATATACATCCACATGGTGTATGTGTGCTTGACGAAAAGTGGGTGGACTAGATGCCTCGGCGACCTTAAAAGTGACACCTATCCAGTCAAAAGATGGCTACAAATTTCGAGGGGTCGTTTAAACAGACGTTGCTGTAGTCTGCTGATTATATCAGAGCACTGTTTGTCGAGCCTTCATGTGCACAACATACGAACAGCCGTTTTTCTTGCGCCTCTGTCCTCCACAGCCCCCCTCACCCACCATCATAGTACGATGCCAAAGTCAAGGAAGCATGAATTCATGCCGCTTAGTTGCCTTCCACCATTCGTGACCCCTGGATTGCTAGTTTTCTGTTTAAATAAACTTTCTGGTTGTCCTCGCCCAATTGATTTCCCTGACACCAAAGTAGTTTCATGCTGCAACAAGAAGCTGCTTCTTAGCCTGGAAATTCCTCCCTTCGCTTCCCTCTCCCTCTTGCTGTGCTGCCATTTCCATCTTGCTCTTGCGAGTTACTCATTTTGATTCTTTCACCATCTGCAGGCATTATGAATTTCAGCAGTAAAAGCCATTCCCCTGATGTAAATTACTCCATTTGCAAGCCACTCCCTTTAAAGGAATCCCCAGCAGCAAGCGCCTACCAGCAAGCTAGGAGCTTCTGCCCCATCCACAGCTTCCATTTCCTTTGCTTTTTCATGCCTGTTCCCCTATGTTTATGCCCAGCCCGCAGCTCCACAACATCGACCTTCTCCTTTCTATCTGGAGAGCTGGGAGGAGAAGTGGTGTGCACAGTAGATCCAGTTGACCAAATGGCTGAAATGTTGTTGCCTGAATGATTTTTTTCCCATCCTTTCCATCCCTGCAGCAGCATGCTGCCGCCCAGCCCGCCGCTTCCACAGCATCGACCTCCTCGTATTCCTCTGGGGAGCTGGGCGAGAAGATCACAGGATTGGGGGATCCAGTGGACTATGACACTGGCATTCGGGCTCGCAAGCCAACTTCTGCTACTGGGATGGACTAGCTGATAGTAGTAATGAAAAAATATGGCGGTGCGACTAAGTGGATAAGTGTGGACTTCTGAAGAGGTGTGCATGGCTCGTGTGCACCCATTAGTGCATGGCTAATGTGTGGACTGGCGACCTTTGCTGCTGATGTTGAATCCTCCATTCTAGCATAGAGTGTTAAATGGTGCAAGCTACCCTATTTGTACAGCCAGAGATGTTGGAGGAAGCAATATGTTCATGAGAGGCCTGTTAACCGATTTACAGAGGTATAGATTGTTGTAGTTACCGACGCGTCGTAACCTGTCCGTCTTGCGAATGCTCTGGGATTTTCGTCGCTTGCCCCCCAGGAATCGCTGTCTCCCGATTATCGAAGAACTCGTGACAGGTTTTCATGGTAACCAGCTTGTTCTATCGGGCAGTCTGCAACCGCTGAGTGGAAATTTGCGAAAGTCTCCGACGTAAAAACTCCAGCGAAAAGATCATACTCGCGGCTGAACCTCGATCTTGGATCTGCTGGGGTTTCGTGCTGAGCTGATCCATCTGCTTTCTCCTGTTGTTTCAGTTGATAGCACAATTTCTGGCTCTTAGCCAGTGACTCAGCGGCTAGATCTGGTAGGGAGCAGTCATAAGAGGGGAGACACAGCGGAGCAGCTAGGCAGCTGCTGACATTTGGCGCCTTCCTGAGCTTGTTTTCTCGCCGTGGCCATGTAGTGAGTAATTTCTCCTTTCCTTTGTCGGGGCAATCCTCCCTGCAGACATGCATATCACCAGAGCTTTATTATTTTCATCGTGTTCCAAAAGCTGTTTTCGCATGTCCAAAATCGTACTTAGTGCCATAGTTTACCATGGTGTCGTGCAATTTGTGGTTCCTTTGAAGAGTTCGCCTATGTTGCGTGTAGTCCAGCAGAGAGGCATGAGATTTTGTGAATGTTATGGTACTGATTGCTGTCGAAATTACTGATTGCTTTTGTCTGTTGGTTATTGGGGAACAACTGTAACCTCGTGCTTTGTATGAAATTGTTGCTGTGGTCAGTCGGTCCGGCAGCTCACGCTATGGAGGCGGAGGCGATTACAGGGGAGGAGGTGACTATAGGGGAGGGGACTACAGGGGAGGTGGAGGCGGGTACCAGACGACCGCTCGGCTTTACGTCGGTCGTCTCTCCACGCGGACTCGCACTCGAGATCTCGAGTCTCTTTTCGGGAAATACGGAAGGTAAGTTTCGTTTCAATTTTGATGTAGTATATTATATATATATATATATATATAATAATAGGACGGAAGATGGTGTTCTGAAAGACCATGTATGTTCAACGGAGAGAGGGTTCGTGTTAGGTCATTGATCCATATGATCGTTGATCCAAGACACTCTATTGGCGTTTACTTACCTTGCACATCCGTAACTTTCATGCGTAAGGTCGTTGACTTCCTTCTCTCTTATCCACACATTCACGACCCTCCTGCTTTCCGTTATTCGCTCGTCCGGGGTGCGTTTGTCGGGTTTCCGGCTGGCGGTCGGGTCGGTACTGTAGCATCTGGTGAAATGCGCATCGGGTGAGAAGCGAATCGGGTGAAACGCGAATTGGGTGAAATTCACGCCGGGTGAAACGCGCGTGCGTCGCTTCACGGTGCATGTCTCGCGCGGTGCTGCTGTTGGTGTTTCCCTCGCTCGCTTTGCTTCACGGTCTTGGTGGTTGCGAACCCTTCCCGGTGTTACACGTTGCAACATCGGTTCCCCTCTCGTTCTCCCGCAACTCCCGCGGCGAGCGCGCGGGCACGAATCGCTGCTGATTCGCGGACCCGTTTCGGAGATGCGAAGAGGAGCGGTTGTGCTGACGTGGCCTGCCACGATTTGCTGCGATGATGATCGGGATGTAAAAGTGGACGAAAATCGCGGGGATGCTTCTCGCTTGCCACGCGCGGGGCTGATCGCCGTCGTTTGCGCTTGGCGGGCGGTTTCGCGCGTCTCGCGGGCTTCCGGGCTCTTGCTATTCTTTGCGGGGACGCGTAGCGCTTATCGAGTCGATGCTTGTTAACGGGGATGTCGCTCGCGCGCGGGGTAACGCGCGGTTTCTCGGGTTGCGCGTGCGTGTTGGTTCGGACGGTTCTCAACGCATCTCCTTGGGAGTTGTTCGACTCTTCAGTGCGGTATGGTTCGGTTTGGTGCGGTTTCGGTGCCTGCTTTAGTCTTTGGTTTAGTATGGGGAGTTTGCTGGTGGGTGGGTGTGTTTGGACTGTCCAGATGTTTCTTCCCCCCGCGGCAGATGGACCGGTTTCACGCCTTTAGGACTAGCGCTTTCTGTATTGAGCTAGATATGTTACCTTCTATTGCTTTTCACTTGCCCTGCCGCCTTGGTAAACCCTTTCTCCCTCCCCCTCCCTTACCCCCTTTTTTCCCCACCCCCCTCTTCCCCTCCTTTCCCCTACCCCTCTCCCTCTCGTTTGGTTCCTGCGTGCTCGCGTCCCTCCTTGTACCTTCCCCCTCCTTCCCCCACCCCCCCCCCCCCCCCCCCCCTCTCCTCCGTCTCTCTGGCTTGCAGGATTCGTGACGTGGACATGAAGCGAGACTATGCGTTCATTGTGCGTAAGCTTGGATAGGGCGCAGTGTTTCGATATTCACTTTTGAGGATTCGCAACAGTGCTAGCTTAGCAGGATTCGTGACGTGGACATGAAGCGAGACTATCCGTTCATTGTGCGTAAGCTTGGATAGGGCGCAGTGTTTCGATATTCACTTTTGAGGATTCGCAACAGTGCTAGCTTAGCAGGATTCGTGACGTGGACATGAAGCGAGACTATGCGTTCATTGTGCGTAAGCTTGGATAGGGCGCAGTGTTTCGATATTCACTTTTGAGGATTCGCAACAGTGCTAGCTTAGCAGGATTCGTGACGTGGACATGAAGCGAGACTATGCGTTCATTGTGCGAAAGCTTGGATAGGGCGCAGTGTTTTGATATTCACTTTTGAGGATTCGCAACAGTGCTAGCTTAGCAGGATTCGTGACGTGGACATGAAGCGAGACTATGCGTTCATTGTGCGTAAATTCCTGGATAGGTTGTAGCTTTTCTTTATTCTCGGTATTTTGAGCATTCTCAACATGCCCTTCCAATCATTTCTGCTACTTTCGTTGATTTCTTGGGAACCTCGTTAGGAATTCTGTTAGGTAATATCGCGGCATCTGCCTCCGCGCACCTTTGCCCACGCCCTCCGCCCTCAGTTTGCCTCCCCTCCCACTCCTCCCTTCCTCTCCGCTCTCAGTTGGCCTCCCCTCCCTTTTCCCCTTCCTCTCCGCCCTCACTCTGCCTCCCCTCCCTCTCCTCGCTTCCTCTCCGCCCTCACTCTGCCTCCCCTCCCTCTCCTCGCTTCCTCTCCGTCCTCAGTTTGCATCTCCTTCCTCTCCTCCCTTCCTCTCCGCTCTCGGTTGGCCTCCCCTCCCTTTTCTTCTCTTCCTCTCCGCCCTCACTCTGCCTCCCCTCCCTCTGCCTCCCCTCCCTCTCCTCGCTTCCTCTCCGCCCTCAGTTTGCATCTCCTTCCTTGAGTTTGCCACTCCTTCCCCAGTGGGTTTCTCCCCACTTCTCTTTCGGCTTTTTACAATTGCCCGAAGCGACCAGTCCGGACAACTTGTCCATATGATTTCGTGCTGCTACTTCCTTTTTTTCCCACTGTTTCTCTCCGCGTTGTGCTGGTTCTCTTCCGTCCAGGAATTTAGCGACTCTCAGGACGCGGAAGGGAAGACACAGTGCTTTCGTGGATATATATATATTCCCCACCTTCTCCCTCTTGCCCCCATCCTCCCCCCTTCCCACCCCCCCACCTATTCTTCCCCCTCGTGCTGGTTCGGTTCCGTACAGGAATTTAGCGACAACAGGGACGCAGAAGACGCGGCGCATTATCTGAACGGCAAGGACGTGGATGGCAGCCACATCATTGTGGAGTTCACTCGCAGGGTGCGTTGGGTATCCTGCCTGTGAATGCCATTCATGCGCAGATGCCATGTAGGGTCCTTTATGCGCCTCAATGCTCATTGTAACGGCAAGGACGTGGATGGCAGTCACATTGTCGTGGAGTTCACGCGCAGGGTACGTTACCTTCCTGGCTGTAGCTGCAATGTAGGTGTGTGTGTGTTCTACGCGCCTCTATGATTGTGTCTGAACGGCACGGACGTGGACGGCAGCCACATCATCGTGGAGTTCACTCGGAGAGTTGCAGAGTACGTTACTCTTCTGGCTGTAAATGCCATTCACGCGCAGATCCTGTAGCCACCAGTCGTGCTATTTTTGAGTCGACTCAAAAATAACACGACTGGTGGCTATTGGCTCTGTGCGTGAATGTCATCTATGGCCAGTTGGATCGACTTAAAAATAGGCCCGTTGCAACCAGTCGCGCTATATTTCAAACAGTATATGATCGTTGGTCTGATTTGTCTGCTCTGATTTGACTAATTTGAATTGACTCAGTCCTGTCTCCTCGCCCCCTTTGCTTCTTTCCACTCTCCCCCCCTCCTCCCCCCCTTCCTCTTCTGCCCGTTCTACCATCAGGGTCCGCACAGGCAGGCCTTTGGAGGTCCACCGGGACCGTGCATGGGTTGGGGCATGGGCATCACGCAGGGGCGCTGCTACAACTGCGGCAAGAACGGGCACTGGGCGCGCGACTGCCCTCTGCGCCCCTTCTCTCCCTTCCGCCCGTTCTCCCCCCTTCCCCACTGACCGCTTTTACCAACCCGTCCCTCCCACCTTCCAACCCCTTCCTTTCCCGCCCCGTCCCCCCCGACCCCCACCTCCCACCCCCTCCTCCCTGCCCGTTTCCTTCCCTCCAGGGTCCGCGTGGGCAGGGCTTCGGGGGGCCGCCTGGGGGGGGTCCGCGCATGGGGGGAGGAATGGGCATCACGCAGGGGCGCTGCTACAACTGCGGCAAGGACGGGCACTGGGCGCGCGACTGCCGCAACGGCGATTGGGGCGGCAAGTGCTATCGATGCGGCGAGCGCGGGCACATTGAGCGGGACTGCCGGAACAGCCCGGCTCAGAGGTGAGAAATCTGAGATGTTATTTGAAACAATATCTGGGAGGAGAATGGAGTGGTGCTACGTACAGTAGGGCAAGGACGGCCACTGAGTGCGCGACAGTCGGAATGGTGATTGGGGCAGCAAGTGCTACCGGTGCGGCGAGCGCGGGCACATTGAGAGGGATTGCAGGAACAGCCCGGCTCAGAGGTGAGAGCTTTGAGATGTCTCAGAGCAGGATTTGGGAGAGAAATAAAGAGGTGAATGGGGCATTCTGCTGCGAGCGCAAGCCGTAAGGGCGGCGAAGCTCGCGAAGGTTGCGAGCGCAATTCAAGCTTTAACGGGGATGTGTCACCGGCTTTGCAAGCTAGTGCTTACAGAGCCTTCCGTCCGTTTTCTTCGGCCACTGGGCGCGCGACTGCCACAACGGCGACTGGGGCGGCAAGTGCTACCGGTGTGGCGAGCGCGGGCACATTGAGCCGCCGGAACAGCCCGGCTCAGAGGTGAGAATTCTGAGATACCTCAATCAAAACAGGAGCTGGGAGAAGAATGGAGAGGTGCTACGTACAGTAGGACGGCCACTGGGTGCGCAACTGCCGCAACGGTGACTGGGGCGGCAAGTGCTACGGGTGTGGCGAGCGCGGGCACATTGAGAGGGACTGCAGGAACAGCCCGGCTCAGAGGTGCGCTGGGTGTGTGTTGGGCTGGGTGTCTCAGCTGATAGAGCTGTGAGGGACTGCCGCAATGGGGACTGGGGCTGGAAGTGCTACCGGTGCGGCGAGCGCGGGCACATTGAGAGGGATTGCAGGAACAGCCCGGCTCAGAGGTGAGAGTTTTGACATGTCTCAGAGCAGGGTTTGGGAGAGAAATAAAGAGGTGAATGGGGCATTCTGCGGCAAGGACGGCCACTGGGCGCCCGACTGCTGCAACGGTGACTGGGGCGGCAAGTGCTACCGGTGTGGCGAGCGCGGACACATCGAGAGGGACTGCCGGAACAGCCCGGCTCAGAGGTGTGTTGACTTTGAATCGAGGTTGCGAGAAACTATCGCAACGGCGATTGCGGCAATTGCTACAGATGTGGCGAGCGTGGGCATATTGAGAGGGACTGCCGGAACAGCCCGGCTCAGAGGTGCCTTCTGTATATATTTCCTGTTAAAGTTGTCAGCACCTTTTCAAGAGTGATTGGGGCGGCAAATGCTGCCGGTGTAGGGTGCCCAGGCACATCGAAAGGGAGTGCAGGAACATTTTGGCAGGGAGGTGAGTTTTTCCTCCTCCCTGACTTTGACTGGTTCCACCTCTTAGTATGTCTACCCTGTGATTCTCTTGGATTACGTTCTGCTGAACCAGGTGCAGGTATCGGCCTTTTTGAGAATTCTCAAAAGCACACTTTGAATTGCTTTCTGTTGTGTGAACCCGGTGCAGGTATCGGTCTCGCAGCCGCAGCCGCTCACGCAGGTATCACGCTTTTCATCAATTGCTCGCTCTATGTTTTTTTTTTCATATATCGTTTCGTTTTTTCCCAAACCTACTGCTTGTTCCCCTGGATCTCCTTGAAGCACGATTGGCCTTATCGCTCGGATGCATCATTTCTCGCTTGTGCAATGCATTTATGTTCCCGTCCCTGCTGTCTTCCTCCTGTAAACAATATCTTCATGTTTCTTTTTTATCCTTATCTTTGGTCCTCCAACCAGCCCTCGACGCGGGCGTGACCGGCGCAGCCGCAGCAACAGCAAGGACAGGGACGAGCGCAGCAAGAGCCGCAGCCGGAGCAGGAACCGCAGCCGCAGCCGCAGCCGCAGCAACGACCGCGCAAAGGACCGCAGCAGGAGCAGGAGCAACGAGCGCGGGAAGGATCGGGAGAATGGCAAGAAGGCCGGAAGCCGCAGCCCCTCGCGCAGCCGCAGCCGCAGCAGGAGCGCGAGGAAGGAGAGGAGGAACAGCAGGAGCCCTAGTGCTGAGAAGAAGGAAGAGAAGAGCCCGAGGCGGAGCAGGAGTGCGAGTAAGGAGAGGAGCAAGAGCAGGAGTAAGAGCCCTGCCAGGAGGAGTGCTAGCCCTGTCAGGAGGAGTGCTAGCCCCGTCAGGAGGAGTGCTAGCCCTGCCAAGAGAAGTGCTAGTCCTCGTGATGATGGTTCGCCTAAGAGGTCTCCGATGCAGGATGCAGATGGGGAAAGGAGCCCTGAGAGGAAGGGAGATGATGCAGGAAAGGATGGGGATGAGTAGATTTGGATATGCACTGGGTGATTTCGTTCACTGGGATGGTGCTAGTTTGGTTTTATACTCTGGAACTTAATGCTTGGGAACCTACATGCTGTTGCAACTTTGTCTACATTTAGTTCTTTGACTTCTGTTACTAGAGAGATGGTGTTACGAGTGAAATTGAGCGAGCGAGCGAGAATTGCACTATCGAAGCAAAAACAGTACAATGAGCGAAGGATTGAGCGAGAACTAAACAGCGAAGGCCATAGTGGTAACGGTAATGAACTGTGGGTGACGCGCGACGGGCCTAGGACTGAGGTTGGGAATGTCGAGGCGGAGGCCCGGAGCGCGGGTTACCAGCCGAGCCGTGAGATCGGTGTGTGACGGGCGAGGTGGCGGGAAGATTGTCGAGGTGATGATTGCGAGTGGTATCGGTGCTGACTGTGGTGGTACAGTGACGTACGCGCCAAGCAGGGATGCGGCGTAAGGAAATGGAAATTTCCTTACACTATCCCCTCCCCTAAGGAGTGTTGGAAACAATCGGTCTTAGGCGCCTCTGTCGTGTCGAAACACTAAGGCACAAATGAAGCAGAGCATATCGAAGCACCGGCGAGTCAACCCTCGAGGTTGGAGCAACCGCTGGAGGTTACGGGGAAGTCAAAGGTCAGCGACCTTTGACCTGACGAATACAACGCGAAAGCAAGGACACACAACTGACTCGCTACAGAGCAGTTGCCCGAGTCGTCACTGTATCGAACCGCAACAGCAACAGTAAAGTAGTTACAACCGTACCTCTTCGTATTCCTTGTACTCTTATATATATTCTTGTATCTCTTTGTTTCAATCAATATACTTTGCCCTCACATACTAGCGCAAGGTGGTTCACAACTCTTTAATTAACGCTTCCGCTATTACACCAACTCTACCCAGAGTTCACCCCTGTAAAGATCCTAAGGGCTTTTTCAGCCCAACATGGTATGAGAGCTATCAGGGGGAATTCAACTTCTATACCGGCAACATCAACAGGCATGGCTACACAAAAAGAAAGGAGCAACTCCAACGGCTCCCAGGGCACTACACCTACTCCACCTCCTGCCTCTGGCCTACAGACAGAGGAGGGCACGGCAACGAGACCCAGGGCGACGTCTACCGAGACTCCCACGAACCAACCTGCAGACTTCGACCAGAGCATGATGGAGAAGTTCTTCTCCTTCATGTCCTTCTACGAGCAACACCAGCAATCGGCACCTGCGCAGTCACACAACAGCAACAACAACGGAGCAACGCCTATGAGTCTCGACGGCTCATCATATGCACGAGGAAATCAACAACAACAGCCTACCTTTGCTCCGTACGAACGCGGGTCCATCAGCTTTATGCCACACCCGCAGCCTTCACCTGGACAAGAAAGGTCACTGGACGCATTACAAGTTCAGTCGCAGTTCGCACACGTTCTGAAGATGCAGACGTCAAGACCATTCGATGGAAAGGACTTCTTCACCTGGTCGTTTGAATTCGAGCTGATGATGGAAGGCGCGCAGATACTTGGCTTCTTCGACGGGTCCCTGCCATACCCAACAAACGGCACACAGTACGAGAAGCAGCAGTACACCTATCAGTCAATGATGGCGTACACGATTCTACTGACGAACATCACCCCGACTCAACAGCAGAACATACGATCTTACCGGGGTTACAGCAACTCCGCGGAGCTCGCGTACAACCACCTGAAGAGCCTGTATCAAGCAACAGACAGCGTAAGTCAAAGTCGGTTAATGGCGCAACTGACAACAGTTGAAATGAAACCGGGAGAAAAGGGAATGGCATATATCAGCCGCTGTCGCGAACTGCGCGACAAGCTCCTTCGATGCGGAGGGTCGATATCTGAAGACGCCTTCGTGACAGTTATCATCGGCGGCCTCGGTCCTCAATGGCGCGCCACGAAAGCTATTCTCCGAGCACATGGAAGAATCTCCGAAGCAGCACTCTGCGCCGAAATCCACGCCGAGCAACAAGACATGTTTCTGCAAGAAGAAACGACACAAAAAGAAGACATCAGCACCGGAATTCGCGTTCCACACTCAGCGACGCTACAACAACAACAACAACCGGCAGCAGCAACCGAAGCCAGTACCTCCGTTCTGCCACATCTGCAAGACATCAGGGCACCCGCGCACGCACTGCCCGAATCGTCAACAGTCAACAACTCCACAGCGGCAACTTCGACCTTCAAGCAGCCAAATCGCCTCAACGCAAGCAAATCCCACGACCCAGGTTCAAGCTTCAACAACTTCAACGGGACAACCTGCACAAGGAGCAAGAAACATCGTCAGCTGCATGGCAAAGCTGAGTGACTCCTGCATCACCGAGTCACCACCACACTACTCACCGGAAGAACAACTCGACGAAACCACACCCCGCCGCGAGTCACTTCAGCCGAACCCGACATACGCTGCCATCGCCCAAAGTGAACCATCCGGAAAGGACACATGGTTCTTGGACAGTTGCTGCGGACAGCACATGTGCTCCTCGGGACGCTTCGTTCAACGAGAACACCAACTTCAACGCGAAGTCGTCATTACAATCGCCAACAATCAGAACCTGCGAACACGACGACAAGGCGTAGTTCAACTTCAGTCAAGGGAAACAAACGTTATACTGCAGATGTCAAAGGTACTAATCGCGGAGGGACTCGGCTACAACTTACTGAGCGTCAGTCAGTTGATGGCGAAGGGAATTCACCTCGAGGCAGACAGCACCACCCAAGAATTCAAGCTGTATCACGGGAGAGGAGTGCGGAGAGTCACTCTACAACGGTAGTGAGCTAGACTACGGGGCTTGGCACGAACTACTAGAGGTGATCGTAGCTTTGCTTGGTTCCTTAGTGCTTGCACACTCACGGGAGGAATCGGCAAGAGTTTCCACTAGGCAAAGTCGAAATTACAGAATAATTGAACAAGCAATGACAGGATGACTACATCAGGCACCTAGCAATCCTGCAGCTAGCCTGGTCGACCGCCAGCACAGCTCGGTCGACCGCCTGCCAGCATTGCGTAGAGGAGCCGCGCCAGCACTGCAGAAGGGCGACCTGCCAACAGAGCAGGTCGACGGCGTGCCAACGCTGCAGCAGAGCGGCTGTCCAGCGTTGCCCTGTAGAGCACAGCAGTGCGCACGCTCGCAGGTGCGCGCAGACGATTGGCCCGACTTGCTTCGTTGGGCATCCGTCGGCTGATGTCTGCGCCTGACGAGCCACATCGACTTCGGGATACCAGCCCGCAGTCGCCTGCGCCATCGCAACCTCGACGACGTTCGCGTGCCTCCGCAGAACTCGTCGAGCAGGTTACCCGGTCGACCCGGTCGACCACCAGGTGCTTCCGGTCGACCACCACTGCTTCTGCTCGACCACCAGGTCCCTCTGGTCGACCACAACTCCCGTCGAGCTACCCTCTGGTCGACGGACCCCTTCCGACTGCTCCGTCGACCTCCCGGTCGAGCGGCAGGTCGACGGGATGCTCCGGAGACCTCCCGGTCGAACAGCAGGTCGACGGGATGCTCCGGAGGCCTCCCGGTCGAGCTGCAGGTCCTGGTCGACGTCTCACCCGTCGCCCAGACCAGTCAGTTGCAGCTGTCGAGCTCCCTGGTCGACAGCAACACCACAGCGGTTCCCTGCAGCTCGACGAAGCCTGTCGAGCAGCTCTCCCACTGTGAATGGTCGGCTGCTACTCCCGTACATCCGACCAAGTCGTAGGCGTTGCCCAAGCGAGGGCGGGGCCAACACTCCATTCCGGTTAACACTCCCCTGCCGCGCTCACGCTTGGGCCTCCAGCCCACACGGCAGTACTCCACGGAGAAAACTCGTCCTCGGCGTGCACCCCACACACAGCACGCCGTCACCGCACCAGCCGTGCAGAAGGGCACGGCACCTACTGCTGCACCTCGTCGTCGCCGTCGCCGACGTCGGCCAGACGAACTTGGCCGATGGCGACAGAGCACCGGTTGAAAGCCGGAAAATGCAGCGCCTTCGTCAGGAAGTCCGCCGGCTGCTCGGTGGTCGGGATGTACTTCAGCACGAATTTCCCGCGCCTCACCATATGCTGCAGCCAGGCGTAGCGTCGCTCCATGTGCTTGAGGTTGCCCGTCAGCCCCAGGCCCTCAGCGACCGTGATTGCCGACTGGTTGTCGACGCGGAGGATGGTCGGCTTCCCAGCGTCGAGCAGCTTGAATTCCGCAAGGAGGAAGCGAAGTCGACGCCCCTCCTTGCCGGCATCCGTGGCCGCCACGTACTCCGACTCGGTCGACGACAATGTCGCGCACTTGATGCGCGAGCTCGACCAGGAGATGGCGGCCCCTCCGTAGACGAACACGTAGCCTCCCGTGCTCGTCCGGTTCTGCTTGTCGCCGGCGTCGTCGGCATCGACGTAGCCGATCAACTCCAACGATTCTGGTCCACCGCCGAACTCTAGGGCGGTGTCGCGGGTGACGGCGAGGTATGCGAGGCAGCGGTCGACCTCGCGCCAATGCTGGTCGCTCCTCACCGTGAGGCCGCTCCCCAGCTTGCTGCAGGCGAACGCGATGTCCGGCCTCGTCGTCGTTGCCGCGAACTGCAGCGAGCCGACCTTCTGCCGGTACTCCTCCTCCTCGCGCTCCTGAGCCTCCTCGTCGTCGAACGTCAGTTGAGCGTAGGCGTCGACCGAGACCGGCGTCTTCGGGACTCGACCGCCTTGCTCCTCGTCGATGAAGCGCCTGCGCAGCTTGTCGGCGTAGCCCTGCTGGTGCAGCCACAGCTTCCTGGCCGGCCTGTCGCGCACGATCTCCAACCCAAGGTACTTCACCACCGGCGAGATCTCACGCAGCTCGAAGGCGGCCTCCAGCAGCTCCTTCAGCTCCTTCAGCATCGCGGTGCTGCTGCTGGCGGCGAGCAGGTCGTCGACGTGTCAAACATTATACATGTTCATATTGTGTAGGCTATAGTGGGTTTAGCCTTAGGGGGTACAACATTGCTAGGGTTTCCTACCTGTATCACCCTGCTGCCTAGTTTCACACATTCTCGTTCAGTTCTACATTCTAACATGGTATCACGAGCCTAGGTTGCTA